CACTAAGATGAAGTAAACTCGCCGCCGATCTAGTATTTCCATCACCACCACGGATACGAGCTTGTCAACTCAGGCAAAGCTAGTGTCACCTTGTCAATGAGTATTCGGTAATGTGAACCTATATTGCATGCAGCTACTAGTCTCTTGGCAACTTTGATCATAAATTCTAGTGAACTAGCTATATGAGAAATAATACTTGTATATCTCTTCATACATCACGCAACAACCATGCTTCATGCAGCATACAGCTTATTCCTTCAGCGGAACGGTGTCTGTAAACAGAGATGCACTCCAGCCTGGAGGGTACCTGTCTCCAATAATGGTTGTCTTGTTAATAGCTTTCCTGATCTCCTCATTCTCCTCATCGCTAATGCTCAGCCGCAGCGCTCCCATGTTTTCGTCGTAGTACTTGATCCTCTTAGTTCCTGGGATCGGAATGACCATGTCCCACTGCTTCAAGAGCCAGGCAAGGACCAGCTGCGAATTCGTGGCATTATGCCGAGCCGCAATCTCTTTCAAAGTGGCAACTAGCTCCAGGTTCTTGGGAAAGTTTTCGGGAGAAAATCGCGGAATGTCGATTCGGAAGTCTCCTTCTTCGAAATCCTCAGGGCTTTTAATTTGCCCAGTCAAGAATCCTCGGCCAAGAGGAGAGTAGGCGACAACAGCGACGCCGAGCTCTTGACATGTCTTGAGCATGTTCGTCTCTGGCAGTTCAATCTCCAGCGCAAAGGGGCTATACTCCATCTGAACGGCAGCGATGGGATGCACAGCGTGGGCTCTTCTTAGTGTTGCGGCCGAAACCTCGGAGAGACCCAAATGCCGAACCCAGCCCTTACTAAAGAAGAGTCAGTATTTTCCTTTCATAAAGCATGGCAGAATTTAAGGCAACACTCAGCATTGAGACTTACTTCTTGAGTTCGACCATGGCTTTAACGGTGTTCTCAATGGGAACACTGGAATCAACTCTGTGGACATAATACAGATCGATGTAATCCGTTCGAAGACGCTTCAAACTCGTCTCGGCGCATTCCTTAGCATACTCAGGGTCATTTCTAACCTTACCTCCACCTAGGTTCCCCCATTTGGTTGCAAGAACGATATCTTTTCGCTTTTCGGGGTTGCGGTCAAACCACTTGCCAATGAGTTCCTCGCTGTCTCCATAAACATTGGCAGTGTCCCAAAATCTTTCTCCAGTTTCGTAAAGATGGTCGAGGACCTTGAAACGCTCCTCATCAGACTCTGTGGCTCCATAATAAGCACTGATGCCCATCGCTCCAAAGCCAATGGCTGTGACGAGGGGGCCATCAGTTCCAAGGCGCCTAGTAGGAAGAGACATTGTGGGATGAGTTAAGCTAAATGGTCTTAGTTGTTGTCGATGAAAGCGGTTAAAAGCGCAGTAACTGCTGTTAAGTTGAATCTGTCGAGTGGAATATGCTAGACGTTTATATGTTGATGCCATATTTATATAGTTGTTGAAGTTCTCTTTGAGATTGCATTTCACTCTCTTTTATCTCAACTCTTCGCAACATGTTCGTAAACTTGAGTCAAGACTATCGGCAAGTCTATCGGCAATAAGAACCACGGAGTTTCGAAGCGAGCGGGGATGGATCGCGGTTCCGGTGCTCGCCTTTATGAAGCCGGCGTTAGCGGTGGCACGAATCGCCAAAAGAGGCAATTATTTCTTGTTGGAGAAGAGATGTTATGATGTGATGTCAGCCAGTGTCAACAACAAACGATGTTTGGAGATAATAGGCCAGACGTTTCATCGGTTTTACTTAAATTCCAGTTTACCTTTTTCCGAAAACTACAAATGCCGCTTTGGCCGCTTTTGGCTTGCCATCTTGTAACGTTGAGACCTACGATGATACGACCGAGATGCCATCTAAGTCGGACTTCCGGTACCGACAACATTCTATTCACTACAAAGACGACCTTTTGACTCCACTGTAAAGGAGGAGCTCCGCGGTAAGGTATGAGCTCCGCGGTAAAAGTTACTATGGTGCTATGAATCTGGGACGGAAAACTGGTATTCAACAAGTTCCGATGAGTTGAGCCCCAGTTAAGCAACACTTCTCATTCGATGGAGAAGGAAAAGACTTCGGCGTTAGTCTTTAAATGTTTCTAACCATCGCCGATGGCCAATGAAATGCCCTATTCAAGACTCCACCAGATACCTATTTGGGATTTCAGATTTGTCGGAAAAGACAATGTCCAAGACAGTAATAAATGACTATTAAGTACGCAGCTTCCTCCACTATCCATCGAGAATTATAAATTGCGCCCTGACTTCTAAATCATTTATCGAAATGTCTTACTTTCTCCGTGTTAGAGAACTGAACCTCTGCAGCGAATTATTAATGCACGGAGTTTTCATATAGCGAAAACAGGCAATTGCAAGGAAATGAGACTGGTATAAATAGCATTCACTTGGAGAGTTAGAGCAAACAATATACTATTCAAGATTCCATATGTTTGTCGCATGAAACATTCACAATCCTATTCTTCGATATTCTGTTTAAGCACCTGAAAAGATGGCACTCTCAATTCCCAAAGTTGTCCACCAGTGGACTGTAGGTGACGGAGAAGGATTTGATGCTTTGCACTATTCTGAACAACCTCTTCCTGAATTGGGAGACAGCCAGGTATTGGTGAAATGTGAGTTTGACAGTGAGTTCGTTTAAAATATATCGGCATCCTAACAAAGCGCACAGTGGAAGCAGTATCGCTCAACGTAAGTCGATACATCATCTCGACTTTACATCATCATGATTAATAAGATTGCTCCTCAAGTACCGTGACCTTATGATAGCACAAGGGAAATCAATTCACCCCGTGGCTCCAAATGTTATACCAGGGTCAGATGGAGCCGGCACTGTTGTCGCAGTTGGCAAACACGTGCGTCGCTTTACTCCAGGCGACAGAGTTGTCACCGCGTTCTTCCAGGACTATGTCGGTGGGCCTTTCCAACTCTCTGCGGCCGTCTCAGCGCTCGGGGGAGCGTTGGATGGTACGCTTCGCACTTATGGAGCCTTTAATGAACAGGGATTGGTTCAAATTCCATCGATCTTGAGCTCTCTGGAAGCTTCAACACTGACTTGTGCTGGAGTTACCGCGTGGAGCGCTCTTTTTGGGCTGTCCGACTATAGGGTGAGTGCTGGAAAATGGGTTCTGACGCAAGGAACGGGAGGCGTCAGCGTGTTTGCTCTACAGTTTGCAAAGGCAGTTGGTGCTAGAGTCGTCGCAACTACGAGTTCTAGTGACAAAATCGATTTTCTGAAAGGTCTTGGTGCTGATCATGTTATCAACTACAAAGAAGACGCCGAATGGGGCACCACTGCCAAAGCGGTGACCGGTGGAAGCGGCTTTGACCATATTGTTGAGGTTTCTGGACCGGTGTCTATGAGACAGAGCCTAAAGGCCATCGCAATTGGTGGCGTCATCAATATTGTTGGATATTTGGGAGGTTCCAGTGGTGATCAGCCGAGCTTCTCGGACTGCTTTCAACACAGATGCATCGTGCGGCCGATTGCGGTGGGATCTAGAATCGTGCTGGAAGAGCTGTGTCGTGCGATTGAGGCAAACCCAGAGAAGCTTCGGCCCGTCGTTGATTCTAAAGTTTTCCGGCTGGATCAGCTCAAGGAAGCTTGTGAATACCAGTGGTTGGGCAAGCACAAGGGAAAGGTGTGTGTTGAGATTTCTTAGCAAGGTGATTATGAGAAGATGATGAGGTGATGTGATGACCTTCCTGAGGAAGCTGTGTACATAGAATCATGTTCTTTCGCACAATATATTGACTGTAGCGTTGTTCCCGGCTAAAAGTGATACCATTCACAGTCTGCTATGTTCCGACGCATCTCTGCTAATACACGCGTATTCAGTACCACCACCATGTAAAATGGCGTCATGATACCACAGGGGTCCCCTCCAAACCCCGCGCCAATTCCGTGACCCCTCTTTATTTCTCCCAGGTGCTCAAGATGGTTGAAGGCAGCAAAATGGGCTTCAAGTTGGTAAAGTTGGGGACGTCAGCAAAGACGGGCTTTGACTCCTCCGCTGTCAGAGCATTTGCTGCATCCTGGGGCTTTTCCCAGGTCATCAAGACACCGCCGGAGAAGGGCGCATCAGGGCCGCCCTGGATGACCTGCCAGCTCTTCAGGCCGATGGGGCCCCATTGCTTATTCACAATGGGCATGTGTGTATTGATGTAGTAATCCATGTCGAAGTACTCGCCCTCCTTGGGCTGGTTGTAGAGAACTGTGAAGTTGGAGGCCATTGTGTCTAGGAAATGCTCGCTCGCTCAGTGAGTCTATGGGAGAGTCCAAATGTTAGTTTAAACCGCTTGCGATGGGCTGCCGTGTTGTTCGCTCGTACTTTGGGTGCTAAGATATGAAATGGTAGTTGTAACTGTTGGATTGACAGCTTCGATACTTAAAAAGCTGCTGAACAAAGTATGTTTATATGTAATTATAATTGTCGATCGGTGCTGGTGGTAATTGTGAAGCGGTTTTAAGTTGTAGCCCTCCCGAATGATGCCGGGCGGAATTGGTGTTCTAGTAAGGCTACTAGAGCCGATCAGGTTTAACACTTCCTCAACAAAGATTGCAATCTTTGTGGGCCAACGCCCAAATACAGAGAGCTTCCAGCGGTCGGATTCGGCCGGAAGGAAATAGAAGCCGGATATTATAAGATACGAAGTCATGGCCTCAAGCGGGCACTCCAGGGGAGCACATTCGGCAATTGTTGCCTATAATGACTCGTGGTATGATTACTACGCTGTATAGAATTATGAATAACGTCTGTACGAGTAATTTGCTGAAGCACTTTGGATTGTCGGGTCTGCTACAGTTTACAAGTACTTTTACCCGATCAAATCTGACATACACCAGAAGCATTGAGAGATTGACCCACAAAGAAAAAAAAAATGAAATAAAAGGAGATTATGACAAGCAATTAATATCTTCGGGGAAAAATATGAAAATGAAGTAAAAAAACAAATATCATGCCATAACGAGGAATCGAACCTCGGTCTTCAGTGTTTCATATCCACAAACTGATATACTAACCACTATATTATTATAGCGTGAAGACATTTGATGAGTGGAGCTCGACTAAATTTGCGTCATAAACACTTCGAGGCGAGCGATACCTTTTTTTCGTCGACCCGCCTTGACGAAGAAATATGCGGTTACAAATTGCTGAAGTATGTACATGGAGGTTATATTTATGGTCAAGATGGTCAGTCAAAGTGCAGTAGCTGGTTTAAATAAAGGCGACGCTCCAGCTTTTGGGCCAAATCGAGAATCAATCCGTAGCTCAGTCTTGTCGAGAACAGTTGACCAAGTCAATCTTTGAAGACTCATGTCACAAAATATGACCGCTGCTACATAAAGGTTCAAGAGCAAACTCGAAATACATGCGCAAAAAGGCCCGAACAACAAGGTTCAAGCACAATGCAATTAGTTTCAAGCATGAAGGCGGTATAATTGTAGATAACGTATACAAATGAGCAATGGGTCTTTTAGGTTCACAAGTTCCATGAATAGCGTTTACTTTCGTCTTCTATCCACATTACTACTGGGCAATCGGATAATTTTGAGAACATGGCTTTCCTCTTCATTTGATCCCGAATACTATTCGACTCCTAATTCTACTGTGTGAGTACCCAAGTCCCCATGAATCGGGCGTAATATTTCGCCGATGTCGTACTTGAGAACCGCGGAGAGCTTCAACTATTCTTGCTACCGGCTATCATTGGCATAACCTGCGGCACTATAGTAACCTTCGAGCAGGAACGCAATAGTTTGCGCATTTATTTCAACAAAAACACTCTTCCGCCCAAACACTAGACATCAAAGTGTCGCATCTCCGGCCACATTGATTGCCGGCGCGGAGTCAATCTTGGTTCACCTGCTATTTTGGCGTGGAACTTTCGCAAATGCTACAGTTGCTTTTCTTCTTCTCCTACTCCAGTCTCTAATCCGCAGCGAAGCCCGACTGCCAAGCACACGCTTGAAGGCCTTAAAGCCCTAGGGAGGTGTTCTGGGTGGCTGACAAAAATAGTTTTAGCCAATAAATTAAGCTTATATGCCTATTCTCCGCTCAGCTTGATCCATGCTTGGCCCGAGTGTCACCTAGCTTATCTAGGAATGTTTTGCAACAATGAGGGGAGCGTTTGTGCTTGCGGACTCTGGCTACCAGATCAGGAAGCTCATTAGTTTGCAATTCGTCATATGTCAATGCAAATGAGTGGATGCCAATGTTCTTTGGAATGGCGCAAAGCAGCGGTATTGATTCTATGTTTTTTGAAAGAAGGGAGTGTGGCGTCATTTGGGATGCCGATTCATCTTCTGTAATGAGGCCAATGGATAAAATGAGCCACTACCCCATAGATACGGGACCGTTTGTTTCCAAACTCTTGACAACATCGATTTATTCAGATTTCTAAAATGGTTACCAAAGCTACTCTTGCTTTGCTTGTGGCGGGTTTCCCGCTTGCTCTCGCTGCGCCCCTCACTGGCAGCAACTCGGAGCTTCGACTTATCAAAACTTCAGAAGATGACGTTGGCCAGTGGGTAACTGAACAGGAGAAGTTTGACAGATTTACTTCAAAGAACATTGGATTCATTGACATTACTGATATTAAGGCAAGCATGATGCAACCGGCGTCATTTACCCGTGGTCATTACAGACATCGTTACTGACATCAATTCACAGGATGATGAGGTGCTATCAATTCTGTCAAGGGCACCATCAGACACCTCTCTGACCGCTCGTGCTGTCACTTATCCGACAAGGGTCGAGCATGTAGATGAAGCCCAGTCGCTCATTACAAAAGTGTCCACCACTGGTCCCCAAAGCTGGCTGACTACGTTTACTCAGTGCGTACTAGTCAATGACTCTCTCAATACAGCTCCCAGTACATATTAACTGTTGATTAGATTCACTACTCGGCATTACCGCTCAACAACTGGCACTCAGGCCTCGGCTTGGCTATTTGACCAAGTCTCCACCATTGCCTCTGCAAGGCCGGAGATCGCTGTGCAAAGGTTCACCCATACCTGGAACCAGCCTTCTATCATTGCCCGGCTGCCCGGAGCGAGTTCAAACCTCAGTAAGCTCATTACCAAGACGCTGAATGTGAAATAGCAGAGTTGCTAACGGAACTCTAGTCATTGTGGGAGCTCACATGGACTCCACCGCTGGCTCGACGACAGCTCGCAGTCCCGGCGCAGATGATAACGGCTCTGGATCAGTTACTATCCTTGAAGCCCTTCGTGTCATCGCCCAGTCAGACTTCACTCCCCAAAACACGATTGAGTTTCATTGGTATAGTGGTGAAGAGGGAGGACTTCTCGGGTCTCAGGCAATCTTCTCCAACTATAAATCCACTGGGAAGACAGTCCTTGCTATGCTCAATCAGGACATGACTGGATTCTCACCAAGCAACCAGCTGGCTGTCTATACTGATAACGTTGATGCGGCTTTGACACAATACGTCAGAGTAATTGCTACCCAGTACACGGGTGCTGCACCTCTTACCACGCGATGCGGTTATGGCTGCTCCGACCACGCAAGTGCTCGATCAAACGGTTTCCGTAAGTTTCTTAAGTCCTGAAGAGTCGTTCGGAATTTTATTGACGTGTGCGTGACAGCCTCTGCCTTTGTCAATGAAGACACTTTCGAGAGGTCCAACCCCAGCATCCATACTGCTGGAGACGTAAGTATCACTATCAAGATTACCCAGTTCTAGCTGACATTAGATAGTCTCTCGATAAGATTCAATGGCCGGCGGTTCTTCGACATGCCAAGTTTACTGTGGGATTCCTCGTTGAGGCGTCTTACCTTTGAGTGGTTTCATGGCTTCATGTATATTGTTAGTTGATGATGTAGCACACAGCCAGCAGCTCATAAGATACCATGTTAACAGAATAAAAAAAAGTCAAAGTATACATTGAGAAAGTGCTATCTAGCACCCCCCATGCTAGACTTTAATATTGGTACTAGTAGAGGCCAGACGATTATAGCGATAGTGGTGATGCTAGCATAAGTGACGATAATAGTTATGCTTCCTCAGAATACTGCGACAGAACTTCAACTATGTGTTGCTGCTGAGCGCTGAACATTTTTCTTCGAATTAAACATTTCAGTTAAGAATTTGTAGTCACCTATGAACAACAGATGACTGCTGATATATGGCTCTCTCCCTAGACCCGTCTCCCCAGTTGTTACTCGTAGATTACAAAAACTGTGTGCCATAACCAGTGTCTGGTCCTCTCTGCACATCGACAGTCAATGGTGTTCCATAGCCATAGCCGCTCGAGTATGCGCCCTCGTACGTGGGATAAGGAGTTTCCTTCCATATGCTCTGAATTTTCTTTGCTGACTTCAAGAAGTCTCTCCGAATTTTGGGGTAATCACTGTTGACAATTTTACCATCCCTTTTGACAAACTTTCCGTCAACCAATACGTGCAGAACGTCGCCAACATTTGCATGCATAATGATTGCCGCAACCGGATCGTCCCACCCGAGCATCGAAGGGGAGCTTTCCGCATCCCAGACTACTAAGTCAGCCTTAGCACCAGGCTTGATGACTCCAAGATCAGGTCGTCGAAGTGCTAGCCCTCCGGAACGAGTAGCTAGCAGGAATGCTTGATTGACGGTCATGGGAGAATAAGTTGGGACCTGCCAATTCTCCAACACTTGATTGTAAAAGTGGTGTCTGACGGATTGCAGCCACATTCGCGCTTGGGTCAAAATATCGGACGAATAGGTAAAATGAGTATCAATGCCAAGTGCGGCTTGGTCTTGCACGTCATATGAATGAGGGTGGCCATGTCCGTACAGCATCTCCGATTCTGCAGTAATGGAGATGTATTGGTTGGTAGAACGAAGCAGTTGCAAATCGTCTGCAGTGATGAAACTTGAGTGAGAAAACACAATGGGTACGGTTCCATTCAAAATGCCAAACTGCTGAACTTCACTTGGAAGATTGCTAAAACCCCAGGGTCCGGCAAGAGAATGGGTTGTCATGACTGAGACATTGAACTCTTTGATGAGATTTGCAATGTCCTGTGCCTCATTGACGGTTGGATTTGGCCCCCAGAAGTCATATGCAACGCCGAGTTCTGTAGGAGAATCCCCCACCAGCGCTTCTTTGTTTGTCGCCATTTCTCGAAATAGTGGAATCTGGTCGGACGCAGTGTAGTTGAGAGACGTGATGTTGTGAAAAGCAAATGCCCAAAAAACTCTAGCCCCGCTGTGGATTGATGCATTAAATCCAGCGTAAGATGTGCTTGAAGACCACGTGTGCGAAGCGTGATCGAGAAGTGTTGTCACTCCGCCGTTCATGGCTTCGTACAAGCCAGCCAATTGACTGATATATACATCATCAGCCGTGAACTTATCTGCTGCGACGAATTCTCCGTAGCGGCTAAAGTATTCGGTAAGAGATGTGTTTGAGGCAATTGTCTTGAAAACCGTTTGCCATCCGTGGCGGTGGGTATCAACAAATCCCGGAGTCAATATCTGGTTTGATATGTCGACAACCTTCGTTCCTGGCGGCAATTTAGACGGCTGAGGGTCTGCGTTCACAGATGCAATGCGATCATCTGTAACCAAAACGGAACCATTTCGAATTATCTTGAGATAATTTACACTGTCATCCCACGCGATAATTGTTCCACCTGAGAGAAGAGTTGAAGCCGCGTCGACAAAAGTGTCGGAGAGCGCAAGAGCTCCAAAGATGACAGAGTGGTAGCGCATGAAGAATGAGGTTGATCGCGACCTTCTAAAGTCAACCAATTGGTGCAATGGTTTCTGATTGCGCGCTGGAGTTCCCCATTCTTCCTCCAGAGCATTGTCGATTGTTTATATAGTCCATGTCAACGTTGTTGGTTGAAGTGTTTTTGAGAGTTCCCATGACGCCAATTCGACACCAGTTCGACACTATCGGCACCATTATCCAATGGTAAATCTCGAACAATGCTCATCCAACGCTGCGTTCCACTGATCAATTAATTGAAGATCTTCCCCTCATGTTCAAGCGAGTCTGCGAAGCTCAAAACGACCCAATCCGAAAT